CCTGATGATGGCAGATGAGATTCTGCCGAAACGTCGCTACAACTTTAAAAGCACAACTATAATGACGTGGGAAAATACCCGAACAAAGCTGAATACCATACATATAAATACCCACGAAAACTTAAGAAAATATATATGCTCTTTTTTCCCCAGCTGTTCACTTCTTTTAGAGAGGTATTATTTTTACTTTCTTATCATAGATAGATAGATAGATAGATAGATAGATAGATAGATAGATAGATAGATAGATAGATAGATAGTGTCTATCTATATACAGACAGATATACATACCTACATACATAGACATAAAAATATAATAGCAAAAAAAAAAGACTTTTTGACAAACAAAATAGTGCACCAGTAGGATAAAAAAATCCCCTGCATTTATACTTCCAGAATCAAGGTACCTTGGAAAATCCAGGCGGTTATAACTTTGTAGAAGGTCATCAGTGTTGGGTTTCTCCTTGCTCTAGAGATTAAGGGGAGGGGAAGACCCTCAAAAGAACACCCACCACTCCCCTTAATAGGTGATAGAAGCCTCATATTGTGAAAAATATACAGAAACAGTGACCAGCAGCTTGAATTCTTGCTTTTCGCCTGGCCTGCTTTTTCTGTATTCCATTCTGTAACTCCAGTATCAGTCTTTACAGGTAGTCCTTGACAACTTTAAAAGCACAACTATAATGATGTGACCGTTTAGTGACCGTTCGAAGTTACCACGGGACAGAAAAAACTGACTTATGACCATTTTTCACACTTTAAAAAGTTGCAGCGTCCCCATGGTCACATGATCAAAATTCAACCACTTTCACAACTGATTCATATTTATGACATTCTGGGGTCATATGATCCACCATTTGTGACCTTTTGACAAGCAAAGTCAATGGGGAAGCTGGATTCATTTAACAACTGTGTTACTAACTTAAGGACTGCAGTCATTCACTTAACAACAGTGGCAAGAAGAGTCATAAAATGGGGCAAAATTCGCTTAACAACTGTTTCACTCAGCAACAGAAATTTCAGGCCCAATTGTGGTCATAAGTCGAGGACAACCTGTAGCCTTCATACCTTCCCGTTTCCTTTTCATAGAAAAGAGTCCAAAAGATTACTAAATAAAGAGTTGAAAAAAGATTTTGAACCTTGTTAAGTGCAGCCAGAATCCTACATGCAGACAAGGAAAGATAGATCAATCTCCACAAGAGAAGAATGGATGGAAAAAGTGAAAAAATGAAAAGACTGTTTTAATTTGATCTAATTGTTTCTACTTGGAAGCTGCTTCTGAACTTTGTGATCGAGATAGAAATAATGAACTCTTAATGCTTGATTTTGCTTATTAGACTACTCCATTTTCATAGACATGGCTGATAATGACTAAATATGCAAAAGTAAAAAGTTGAGGCTGTAATTTTATTTTGTATTTTACTGTGCAGAAAAAAAAGTTGAAAGACAATGGTTTTTTTTTCTTTTCCCTACACTTCTTTCCCATTCTTATCCTTCTCCATTTCCCTGTTTTCTTTATTTTTATTTGTACCTTTCACTATTATAATTTGGATTAAATTTATGACGAAGAAAAAAAAAGGAGAGGGTCAAAAGCAGTATTCTGTGGAAGGTCTTAATAAGAACTCCTGCCTTGGGCAAAGGATTGGACCAGAAGACCTCCAAGGTCCCTTCTAGCCCTATGATTCTATGATCTCAACTTCCTGCCTGATGTCAGTGTTCCAAGTAAAACCTCAATACAATTCAGAACTCTGAGACAAAGTCCATCAAAGTCATGTTGGCACATCTGGGGAAAACCCCAATCTCAATTCCCAGGTTTCCCCCCCCTCCACACTAAAACTCACACCCTGCTCCATTCAGTGACCTTCACGTCACATGGCCCAATCAACCTCCTGTCTCAGCTACTGCCAAACTTCGTCCACTCCCCTCCAGGTGCTAGCAGCTTGTCCTTGATCTCTTGCGAAAGAACGTTGTTGTGGCTATACTCCCTTCGCTACCCTCCCCTTCCCACAGCCTGCCCATCCCGTTGTGGCAGCCCTAAAAATCTGTCCCCCACCCCATGGATCCAGGGCTGACGCCTGACCTGTTGGCTGGCTGGCTGCTGAAGCTTCTCTTCTATCTCCTGGATGAGATGGTCGAGAGAGCGCACTTCCTCCATGTGCTTGGCCAAACCCTTCTCCTTTCTTGCCATAATATCCTTCTCCGTCTCTTCCATTCTAGCCAGCAGAAGCTTCTCCTGTCCTTCCAACCAGAGTTGTAGTTCTCTGAATTCAGCCACTACATTTTTTTTCACTTTTTCAATGAGGTCCTACAAGAGAGAGAAAAAGCAAAAGGCGTATTTTAATTTTGTTTTATTTAATTATTTTTATTTTTATTGTTATAATAAGGAAATGGATTCCTTGAAGAATCTAGAAGTGAGGTGGGAGAATTTCCTAAGGAGGAAAAAAAACTTTTGACATTCAAAAGTGTGGGGGAGGGGGAGCTTTTTAAGCTTTTTAAAAAAGGTTCCAGTTTAAATGATATCTCACGAAAATTTTCTTGACAGGGATTACAAAAATGTACACAGAAAAGTGTTTTGAGTTCACATTTTTTTCAATAAAATGAAATACGTTTTGCATTAATTTATTAAGGAAAGCAAACCATTTTATAAAACTGTCAGGGCAATGATTTAAGAACTGCCTACGATGAGGCAATGCTACAATGATGTAATGCTGGGAAGGAGTCAGCAAGGCTGTTGGGCTGTTATTGCTGACTAAAGTACATGTATGTATATGTTCTTTGTAGATAAAACCACTATTTAATTCAAACCTCTGTTTGCTGTATTTGCTCCTGGGTTTTCTCACAGTCAAACCGTGCACACACTGACAAAAACAAAGCTCCTGGGATAGCTGCATTTAACCCAACTGTGACTCATTCAGGCAATGGTGACATCCCAGTCCCCAGGTTAAGAACAAGTTCTGTGTCCTAATACTGTCTTTAGCTTGAATTTCCTTTAACTCAGAGCTTGTACTTGCAAACAGGCTGCCTATTATCCAAGATGGCCGATGGGGTTCTCCTTCCTATTAGCTCAGAAGCTCCTCAGCATTGGACCAATACTTACAAGCATCTCCTGCACTGTTTGCTCTGTGTCGCTTTTGTAAGTAGCTATTTTTTCTTTCTGCTCCTTCTGAGCCTTCAGACAATCCTCCACTTTGATCTGAAGAGAAAATACAAGTCTTGAGTTTCTTTTCAGTAAAGAATTATGTGACCACGGAATGCCTGCAATGATCACAAGGGGGAAAAACCTTATGTCACTTTTTTCATTGCTGTTATAACTTCAAATAGTCACTAAACGAGTGTTTCTAAGTCAAGGACTACCCACAAGGGCATTAAACGGAGCTGCCTGAGTCTCCTGGTTGCAGTCATACCAGAAGCATCAGTGAGAAATGAAAATTTGGGATGATCCAGCAGGAATGTTTTTCGGGATCTGTACTCTATATTTTGAAAGAGTCCATGACAATTTTGCTCTACTGCAAATGTGGAAAGTGAGCTGGCAAAGGGAATCTTTCCCTACCTAAGCAGGAGGTTGGACTAGAAGACCTCCAAGGTCCCTTCCAACTCTGTTATTCTGTTCTGTTCTCCCTACAGACAATTTCCATTGCTAAGCAAGACAGGGACACTGCAACCATCATAAATACATGCAGGTTGACAAGCTTCCCAATGGTCATAAGTGAAAACGGTCATGTTCCTTTTTTCTTTTTTCAAATTTTTTGTTTTATGTAACATATAAAAATTCAATTTCAATTAAACACTGTTGTCTGGATGCAATTATTTTAACAAATCTCTTTTATAACATTAATCCTTTTTTTATCCCCATGTTTCTAACTTCTGTTTTTATTATTTAACCATTGGTAAAATAAGGCCCATGTCGAGAAATATTCAGTTCCTTCCTTTTCCTTAATTGTAAGCGTTACTCTGTTCATTTCTACACATTCTAATATTTTTTTAATTACATTCTCATCTGTCAGGATCTCTTCCATTGTTGTGCAAATACAATTCTGGCTGCAGTTAGTACATGTAAAATTAAATATATATTCCCTTTATCCTACTTTTCCAGTAGGATGCCCAACAAAAATATTTCTGGTTTCAAATTTATATGTTGCTTTATCATTTTTCCAACCAAGTATTTTTTTTTTGCCTTTAGGCATGTCCTCCACATATAATAAGAACCAGGTGTCTGGTTACACTTCCAACATTTAGCAGACATATCTTTAAACATCTTTGCCAATCTTCTTGGTGAAAAATGCCTATAAAACATTTTTACAAGTTTTCTTTATAGGCAGTTGACAGAGTTAATTAAACATTCCTATCCCACAATTTCTGCCATTTATCTAGTTCTATTGTAGATCCTAAGTTTTTAGCCCAAACTATCATTCTCTCCTTTACTTGTTCACTTTCCAATTTGATGTTTAATAAATAGCTACATAGCTTCATTAATCTTTCATCCATCTCAGTTATCCATCTGCTCTAATTCTGTGAGTTCTTTATTAAAAGCATACATTTTAGCATCTTTCTCATATCAAGATTGTATCTGGACTTATGGCCACCATGCAACGTCCATCCCTTGACTACTCAGTTCATAATAAGTCCCTTTTTAATGGTGTTGTAATTTCGAACAGTCATGAAACAAATGGTTGTAAAACTATGGTAAATCTGTCTTCAAAGAATTGCAGGCACAGAGGATAAAGCAGGAGGGGAAGGTCTCAGGCTGGAATCAGGGAAGTTTGTTAAAGGAATGGCCCAGGCAGAAAGCTGCAGATGCGTATAATAAGACCAGGAACGAATGGAGGGGACAAGAAAATTACAAGAAAAGTTAGACTCCATTAGAGGAATGCTAGCTAAGGCAGAGAGATGAAAACTAGTAACTCCTACCTTATTATAATAAAACACACACCTCTTTTGATAAGAAAGCTTATTAACATAAAATCTGCAATGTATTAAAGAGTAAATAAAGTAGTCCAGGACATCAAAAGAAACACATTTCAAGGAAGCAATGAGTGATACTTAGAGTGTTAACTTCCTTAGTCTGAACTGTATAAAATTTGTATTTTGGTTTGGTGTCTTGGCTCCTTTAGCTGCTGAGACCTTTTTGTTGAAGTAGTTCAATTAAAGTTCCTTGAACCTCCTGTCTGGTTCTGATTGGCATCTGCTCAAGGCTAAACCCATTTTGCCATCAACAGAGGAAGCAAGTAAAGTGATCTAAGGATTGACAGGAAGGCCGAGGATCTGGATGCCTCCCCGCAGCGATTCCTCCTGGCTGATTCCTACCTGGTATTCCCAGAAAGCCTCCTCCGCAGGGATCACCGGGTGGCCCTCGTGCTCTTTGGATCGATCGCAGACCAAGCAGATGTGGGTCTCGTGGTCCTTACAAAAGAGCTTGAGGGGCTCCCGGTGCTTCGGGCAGAAGCTCCCCCCTTCCTCGCCCCAAGGGCCTCCGCATCGCCTGGTTTCTTCCACCAGCTGCCAGCTGCCGGTTGGGGAGGACGCTGCGGGGCGCGAAGGTCTGTCTGCACTCGGGACAGGAAACCTCCGATTCCGACGTCCCCCAACTGCGGGTCAGGCAGCCCCGGCAGAAGTTGTGGCCGCACTCCGGGATGAGCACGGGGTCCTGGAAAAGGTCCAGGCAAATGGAGCAGGTGGCTTCTTCCAGCAAATCCTGCAAGGAGGCTCCGGACGCCATCGCCGCCTCCAAAAGGGAAGAGAAAGTTTAGTTTCGCTTCTTTTCCTCCGAATCGGGTGACGCCCTTTGGACTCCGCCCAGGCGGGAAACTGAAGTGAATGGTTGTTGCTCTTGAGGTCGTCTTCGCTGGCTTTTCAAAAGGGAAAAAGGTTTTTAAAAGAACGAATTGGAGAGAAGCAAGCATTCACGGGACAGACCCCCAATCAATTATTATCGGCCCAACCAGCTCGTCAAAGGGGGGGGGAATTTTTACAATCTTTTCCTTCTGCTTCCCTCTTCCCCTCTCCCTCCTTTCCTCCCTTTTCCCTTCTTCCTCCCCCTCCTTCTTCTCATGTTGGCGATCCTATTTTTATCAACAGCCGCACGAAAAAGTGCTGCTTTTTAAAATCTGGGGATCAAATATTTTTAAAATCTGAGGAGAAGCAAATATTCTTGGATCAATTTCTGATCCAAGTGTCAAGCTAAAGGGAAAGATTGAAAACACACGGGGAGAAAGAAACATCCATGGGTCTGATTCACCACCAATTCTTATTGATCCAACCAGCTTCTTAAGGGGGGAATGCTTTTAAAATACTTGGAAGAAGGAAACATTTATGGGATGGGATGGAGTTGTGGAAAGGGAACTTCACAAAGACAGTGGTATCACTCAAGCAGGAAAAGCCCAAGGGGAACATCAGGCCAGCCATAAAACAAACTTACATAGGAAAAGGAATCAAATAAAAGGTATTAAAGAAGCCCTTTAGACAAAAGCCCAAGTAATTAAGAAAACTAGACAAATAAGAAAAGGAAACCCTTACAAACACAGGACATGCCAAATAAGCAAAACAAACAGACAAAAGAAACAAAAAATATATAAATTACAAAAGAGACAGACAGGAGATTGCCACAAAACAAATATAAGAAACCATTGTAAAGATAAAAGAGATTAGGAAAAACCGATAATACAATCAAACCACCCCGCAGTTTGCCCTCCGGCGGGAACAAAGACAAACTCTGACAGGATTTGAAACATTAAACACAAATACAAACATTCACACACAAAAGGAGAAAAGGGTTTAAAGAACCAGGGACTTACCATACGAAGCTAGCTAGCCCAGGAACACAGACTTCTTGCTGTCCACCGCCTTCCTGAAAAAATAAAAAAATCCAGTTTTCAAGCAGTTGTCCGTATCCACGCGCCAGAGCTCTCCCAGCGGGAAAATCGAATTCTCGAAGGAAAGGCATTTTGCCACCTTTCAACAGTTGGTGACCATGAAGGTTTTCTAGCCAACCCTGCCACCGGACCAGGCCTGCGGATCCAAACCCAGCCGGCATGGATCTTCTTTGTCCAGGGACAACATCCATGGACCCAGCCCGGAGGGTAAAGGGAGTCCTTGGGCTTTTCCGCTCAACAGCTGCTTGAAAGCAGGTGAGTACCGCTTCAAATTTATAATCTTACTAGGGAGGAGAGTGGAAGCGTGAGTGTACAGGTGTGTGATTGTGGGTTTTCTCTGCGGAAACAGAAGGACCTCACCTCCTCCGTGATTGCCAGCCGCATCCTAGCCAGCTGCTAGCTCAAACATGAGCCGTGATCAGCTGGATTTGGGAACGCAAGGGGTGATCACGGAGTGTGAGTCCTTCTGAAGGACGTAAGAAAAACCGAACGGGCTGCAAAAGGAACTGGTGTGAGGAAATAAATAAAAAGCAGAAAAAAATAGTCCCGGTGCATCCCGCAAGCAAAGCCCTGTGCATTTAGAAGGGGCCCCTACTGGCTGCTGACAAACAAAATTGGAAATAGTTTGTCTAAAAAGCAGAGTAGGTCCTTCCAGATCCCCACCTTTAAGGGAGATCTGAAAACTGTCGACTGAGTGTAGGGAGGGGCCTGTATCGGTGCTGCTAGGTGGCAGACAGTCCTCCGAGATCCCTGTTTTTTAGGGGGGGTCTTCAAACTGACAGCTGAGTTTCCCTAAAAGAAAGGGGCCCGTACTCTGTGTGTAGGGAAACCGGAGTCCTTTCCAGACCTTTTTTGTCTGAAAACTGACGGCTGTAGCCCGGCTAAACCAAAGTAATCCCCACATCAGGTAGGGAATATGGGAAGTTGTAGCTCGAGGGCAATGGAAGAGACCCTCTTGGATAAATTACTTGAGGCTTGGGATGAAAGGCAAGTGCCTGTCCTGACTGGAATGAATAATGCTTCCTCTAAACCTATCACTCTGATTTTATTAGCTGTCAAAATTGCTGTAAGGGATTTTGAAATATCCTGTCTTGAATGGACTTTTGCCGGCAGTATTTGCTTTGCTTATAAACGGAGCCATCTAGATAGTTGCCTTCCTATTTAACTAAGCTCTTGTTAAGTGCTGGCATCTGCTGTGGGCTATTAAGAAAGACTGGGGGCTGCTTTCTGCCTCCAAGAGCATGTTTCTCTGTTTTTCCTTTGTGGAAATATAATATTCTGCCTCTATTAGTTTCTCAAAACACTTCATTTTGTGAGGTGGGGGGCTTAGGAAGGAAAGGAAGGAAGGAAAGCACCACTAATATGACTGTGATTACTGTACTACTACTAAACATCTTTGAGTTATACTTTAGAGACCAAATTTACAGAAATTCACATGTAAATCTGTTTTTAATATTCCATATTTCTGTTGCAGGGAAACCTTCAATCTGGGAACGTTTAACATTTGATCATCTAGTGTATTAAAGGCGAGTACTGTATAGCAAATTCCATCATCTAATTTTTTTAAAGCCTGTATTCTAGTTAGTGAAATCACTGGAAACATTTCTCCATAACTGGCTGAAATATCCTTTTTACACTCATTGACCCTGTGAACAAATAATTCTTTTCCTAACTAAGTGTTCGAACTGGGCTGAAATTAGGATAATTTTTTTTATTAGCAGACCACAATCTACATAAAAGGAATTAAATTCTGTTCAGTTGTGGTCACCATTCAAAAGCATTGTATATGAATTTAGCCTGGTGGTTTATTTTTATTTCCTCCTCTTTGTCTCCATTTACCTGACGAAAACATTTGACTAGCATTCGTGGAACCTGTAGGTATCAATAAAAGAAATTTTAAATGGATAAAGACCATGGCAAACCACCCTCAGGGTGCCAAGAAAATTGCACGGATATGTTCATGATATCACCAGGATTTGAACTCAAGTCAGCGAAGGTTGTTGTTTGTTTTATACTTCTGTAACCCCATTCAGTGATTTCTAAGTGGGTCTGTGAGAAAGCTTATTTCATTTTCAAGGCATTATCATCATTAGAGTAGATTATGACTACTATTAAACATCCATGCAAAGAAAGATGCCTTTCAGTACGAAGAAACAAAAGTAATTTAAAATGCACTACCCCCCACCAACAAGGGAACAATTTAAGCACCATCAAAAGTACAAACGAAAACTTACAACAGTTAAAATTAGTTACTATTTTATTGCCATAAGAGCCATGGTATCTGTTCTGTCTTTTATAATTACTGGCTCAATGTATAAAGACAGACAGGCAAACTCTACAGTCTTCCATACGAAGTCTCTTTATTGAATTATATTAGGCATCCTCAAGGTAACTCACGGTTATGTCGAGATTCATCTAATGTCCAATTCTTTGCACAGCTGACTTCATAGTGTAAAAGAATAGTGATCTTTCAACCCATAATGAAGGAGCAAGTGGGTGAGACACCAGCACACTGCTGGGGTCCAGGCAAGAGTGAAGGAACCTTCCCCAACCCAACTAAGGGTCAATTCAGTGACCAGTCAGGATTACAGATGTGACCACGTGACATGAACTACATTTCCCAGGATGCATTAACTACATTTACTATGAGGCATTCCCTTAAGGGGCAGCTCCCAATTCTAACTTAGTTATCTCAATTACCATTACCTATATGCTGTCTGGACAACACAGTATCCATAAATTTACAGCCAGAATAAAGACTAGACTAGACTAGACTAGACTAGAATAGAAAATAGAAAATAGAAAATAGAAAATAGAAAATAGAATAGAATAGAATAGAATAGAATAGAATAGAATAGAATAGAATAGAATAGAATAGAAATAGAACAGAACAGAATTCATTATTGCCCAAGTATGATTGGACACACAAGGAATTTTTCTGTGGTGCCTATGCTCTCAAGTGTACATAAGAAAAAATAAAATACATTTAACAAGAATCCTAAGGTACAACACTTAGTGATAATCATAGTTTACTAATAAGCAATCAAATCATACTAGGAAACAAAACAATATAAATTGTAAAGATACAAGCAACACGGTTATAGGCATAAGTGGGAAGAGATAGGTAATAGGAAGGATAAGAATAATAGTAATACAAAAAATAAATGTAACCCACAAATGATGCAATCCTAATCCTCTACACCTGATGCCCATAATAATTTCCAGAGCAGTGGCCCTTTATTGGCACAAGAATGACCCAAAGAAATGGATGTATTGCAGTGGAAGGCAAGATGAAATTGATTGCAAAAAAACCCTGAGCGCATACCTCCTATTCACCTCCACAGGTCTTTTCCTCTTGCAACCATGCTTACAAGCTCAGGTAAACTTTTGGTGGGCAAAGCAAACTAGGTTTCTTTAGAGCTGCCATGGGTTGGCAAAGGCTGAGTGTCAGGTCCTTCAACTTTACAGGCCTAATTTTCCAAGACAAACTTACTGCCAGACTGTCTCTAAAATTCAATTTTGGCCTCTCCTTCATAGCTCCACCCACATTTCTCTTTCTCCCCTCCCTCCAAAAAAGGGGTGGGGCCTATCCATTGCTAGCCAATCCCATCTCCCCATGGATTCTCACAGACCCCTTTGGAAGGCCCTGCCTGCTCCCCCAGAAGTGGGGAGATGCTGCAAAGCAGGAACAACCCTAAGGGAAGTCAAAAAAGGCCTCAGGGACGGAAGCCACACCCCTTATTTACATATGGGTGGAAGGCGGGTCTGGCTGCCATCTTGACTTTGTTGACCTGCCTTAGGAAACCCTGACTGTAATTCCATCCCTTTGAGATTCTGTTGGGACAAATCAGTGGCTCTCAGTTTGGGGTCTGTAGAAGTCAAATAATAATATTATTGTCACTGTACATATATACAACAAAATTGTTTTAGCCTCTACTGGTGCAATCCATAACAAAAATACAAGACAGCATGAATAATGTAGGAAATGGTCCTTATACAAATAATTAGGGAGAAAACAGTCATATGTTTCCATGTATGCATGGAACTATTGTAGTTGTATTTAGGAGTCTGACAGCCCATGGATAAAAGCTGTTTTTAAACCTGTTTGTCCGGCTGGCTCTGCTTCTGCCTGATGGTAAGTGAGAAGACACTGACCAAGATGAGAATCGTCCCTCAGTATCTCCCTTCCTCTGCTGAAACAGTGAGACCTGGCGATGTCTTCCAGTGGTTTCTTGTGCCCAATTAATCACTCTCTGTAGTGCCTTCCTGTCCACGGCAGTTGAACCAGCGTACTACACTGTTACACAGCATGCAAAGACACTTTCTATCATGGACTGATAGAAAGAGATCATCAGCCATTGTTCCACCTTATTTTTTCCAAAGACTCTAAGGAAATGAAGTCTCTGTTGGGCCTTCCCAACCACCAGGGAGGTGTTGTTTTTCCAGGTGAGGTCTGGACTAATAAGCACTCCCAAGATTTTAAAAGAGGAAACCCTCCCCACACAGCCCCCCCTTGATATACAGTGGGGCAGGTTCCTCTCTCTGCTTCCGGAAATCCACCATCATCCAGCATTTTAACATGTCTTGTTTTTAATGTACAGTATATAGACATTAAAAAGTGCCCTATGACAGATTTTTGCACTTATGACCAGGGGTGGGCTTCAAAATTTTTAGCAAGGGGTTCTCTGCTGGTTGCTGGGTGGGCGTGGCCATGGTGGGTGAGGCCTAGTCAGCATCTTGCACCACAGTTGGTGGGAGGTAGTTTGCGCTCCCCGGGCTCCGGAGGTTTTCTTCATGCCTCCCAGAGGGTGAAAATGACCTCCCTAGACTCTGTGGAAGACAGAAACGAGCCCATTTCTGGCCTTCCCAAACTTCTGCGAATCCTGTTTTTCACCCTCCCAGAGCCTCCGCACCTGCACTTACCTGGCATCCAAAACGGGCTGCATGGGGACCCCTGGGAGGGGCGGGGTGGGCGGGGCCAGCCAGGAACGGGATTTGAGGGTTCTCTGCAGAACCTTAGCAAGGGGCCCTCCCAAGCCCCCGTGAGCCCCAGCAGCCCCCCCTGCTTATGGCCATGGCAGCATCCCCATGATTACATGATCAACGTTCCATCGTTTGGCCATTGGTTCTAATTTATGACGGTTGCCGTGTCCCCAAGTCAGGTGATCCCCTTTTGTGACCTCCTGACAAGCAAAGTCAATGGGGAAGCCAGATTCACTTAGCAACCATGTCACCAGCTTAACAACTGCAGTGATTCACTGAACAACAGGGGCAAGAAAGGTCGTAAAATGGGACAAAGCTCACTTAATAATTGTCTCATTCAGCAACAGAAGTTGGGGGCTCAATTGTGGTTGTAGGCCGAGGACCGCCTGTATTCGGTATGTTTGGATTCCTCACTTGCTTCTTTGGCAACAGCAGCTTGTCCGTCTTCAGTTGTTACACTGAACCTTTTTCACACACCATAAAACTAATAACATCACTCTAAAAAAGAAATAAAATCCCATATTGGCAGAATAACGTAAGGTAAAAATAAATTTATTCATGTAAAATTGCAAAAGAATTAAAACCCATGAAGCACCTATAAAATTAGATCAGTCTTATAATCAATAATCCGACTGTTGTAGATAACTGAGTGAGTGAAGTATAAAAAGACAGAAGTAGCAGTAGGATTTATTAAAAAAAACACCCCTGTAAGGCTGTAAAGCTTATATTGAGTCTAATAGCTGCCGAAGCCCTGCTAGGGTTTGTTGGGATGATGACAATTATATGCATATTTAAAAGGAAACAGAAAAATAAAGGGGAGGAAAGAAAAAAGGAGGGAAAAATTACAGAATACACTGAGTTAATGGAAACTTCCACAATCATTGATGGCAACTAAACATTAAACAAACAAGCCTGATACAGAAATGAGAGTTATGACAGACATCTAAAACCACGATTTATGGGTTTAGCTGTAAGATAAGGTATTTTTTAATATTCATACACCTCAAGACATGATGCTAAAGCCTATGAAGTTTCTAAGACACCTCTTCTTTTTTTTAATTCAGAGAAATTTAAATGATGGTCAGGTTATTTCTCTCTGGATCGATTGATTGATCCACTCCTTCAATTCAGAAGGCCACCTAACCTGTTAGGGGAGTGTCACGCAGCTGCCCTTGCCCAAGTAGAAATAAGGCAGGAGGGTCTCTCCAACCAAGGAAGCGTCTGAGAATGTATGGAGCAAAGCTGCGGTCTTGGCATCAAAGAAGCTCACTTGTCCCCCTTCGCAGTTGAGAGAGATGCGGATCCTCGTGGGGCTCTCAGTCAGGACCAGTTTACAGCATTTTGACGGAGAGGCGGCCGTGTATTTCCCATCCCATCCCCAAATCTGCCACTTTCTGGTCTGCTCATAAACATTTTTAAAGTTCCCTGGTTTGCTGGTAACCCCTACAAACCATTTTCTTGTACTGCTTACAATAACATCCCAGAAATGTCGCCCTGATGAGAACATCTGACACCCAAGGACACAAGGATTATACAATAAATCCTTAAGTCCTGTGATGCTTTTTCGATCTTCGGAGATTTTAAGGCAGTCAGGATTAGTTGTGTCTGGATCCAGAGTTACATGCACTGTAAGGGGGAAGGGAAGGAAGGAAGGAAGGAAGGAAAAGAACAAGAGCTTCAGTTGCAGGCCTGGTGTGTGAAAAGAACAGAACAGAACAACAGCTTTATTTGGCTAAGTGTGTATCAGACACACAAGGACTGCATAACCTCTACATATTAATGGAAGATAATAGTTCACAAATCATAAAATCATTAAAGTTTCCAGGTATCTAAGCTATATTAAGGTATTTAATCCTATATTTTTCTTTTTTTTAATCTATGTTTCTCTTAAGGTTACTGGCATCACAGCTTAAAATAGCAAGCAGCTGCAATTCCTATAATTCATATTTACCTTTCTGTAGTTGAAGTCCACTTTCCAGAGTATCTGGGGAAGAAAAGAGGGGGATTCAGCATCTCATCACTGGAATTGGAGCAACAGAAGGGCCTCTCTCAGATACCCTGGTTTGCTTTCCTTGGACTCAAATCAGGAAATAAGGAATAAGGAAAGCTACAAGCTAAAATGTCGTTGGTGGCTATATATCAGGGGTGCCAAACTCGATTTCATTGCGGGCCACATCAGGGTTGTGTTTGACCTCAGAGGGCTGGGGTGGGGGTGGGTAGAAGCATTCCTGTCAAACAGACAACAAATGGTCAAAATTGGGAGTGTCCTATCAAATTCTGTACCTGTCAACAGTGGTGTCCCCTAAGGCAGTATTTTAGGACCAACTGTCTTCATACTCTACATAAATGACCTCTGTGATCATATTAAGAGCAACTGCGTTCTTTTCGCTGATGATGTAAAGCTGTAACTACATAGCCAAAAAGGCATTAAGAGTTGTTAACCTAATCCTATATAGCTTTTTCTCTGGTAATATCACACTACTAATTAGAGCATACAAAACATTTGCTAGACCAATACTTGAATACAGCTCATCAGTCTGGAACCTGCATTACATATCTGATATTAATACAGTGGAGAAAGTCCAAAAATATTTCACAAGAAGAGTTCTCCATTCCTCTACTAGTTGCAAAATACCTTAGCCACCAGACTTGTAATTCTAGACCTAGACAACCTAGAACTACGACGCGTTCGGTCTGATCTAAGTATAGTACATAAAATTATACATTGCAATATCCTACCTGTCAATGAATACTTCAGCTTCAACCATAACAATACAAGAGCACACAATAGATACAAACTCAAGCACTCCAAACTTGATTTCAGGAAATACGACTTCAGCAACAGAGTGGTCAATGTCTGGAATACTCTACCTGACTCTGTGGTTTTGATAGCCCCCTGTCAGTCAAAACGGGGGATGGGGGGTGTTGATGACCTCCATCTTCACCAGAAGTGGCCTGAAATCGTGTGCTAAAGCTCTCGTGAGTAATCAAGATCATTTGGGAGCCCGAGATTCCTCCGCAGCCAACCCCGGTGAAGCAGCCTCGGCAAGCTCTCGCAGCCTTCCCCAGCAGCCATAGCTTTCATCCCTGAGCCCCTGCGAAGCTCAATTCCCCAGTGGCAGGTCAGGGCAATTTCCCGGCAGCAGAGCCATTGGACAATCTCCCGCAGCCTCCCCAGCAGCCGTAACGCTTGAGCCCCAAGCCCCGGTGGAGCGCAAATACCAGGAGGTAATTAAAGAGTCAGTAGTCAATTCGAGAGCCAAGCCGGAGCACAGCCATCCCCACTTCCGAGCCCCAGATAAATACAATTCCCCGGAGGCAGCCAGAAAGCCAAGACAGAACAGACTTACAGTCCTCCAACCTAAATCCCAGCAAGAAAAACTTCTTGTTTTTTTTATTGTTACCAGGAAACCATCTTGCTAGAAAAATAATCCTACAATCCTCTACCTTCCAAACAATCTCTCACCAACCTCTTCCTCACCAGGAAACAATTACTTAGTAACCATTAAAACAAACGAAACCATGTGGCTTTAAGGAGACTTCCAGTCCTAAGACTCCTTGGGTAGAATCTTGACCCGAGCCAGCTGGGAAGGGAACTGAGTCAGCTGTGGTTCCCCAAACAGGATTCCCTGAATGGAGTCAGCGTGTTTAAGTAATTCGGCGTGTTTTACTCTGTTTCAATAATTCAACATGGTTTTAGTCATCTTGTTACAGCCTGTTTCAGTGTGTTCCAGACCTACAGAGTTTACAGAGTGTCTAACCCAGTGTCTCACGCAGCGGATCAGATAACAACAGCCATCAAAGCAATAAATCCTTCTCATCCAGGATAGCAGCAGCTAGCAAAGCAATAACGCTTTACTTGCAGACCCTCAGTACTACTCCGTTACTTCAATACTTAAACACTGATTACTCAAAACTTATAACTTTTCTATCTCATGACCTACATCAATGATTAGAGAATGTCTAAATCAATTTCTATAAAATAATTCACCGATTGATTGTTTTGATTTTTAGTGTGATTAGAGTGTTTAGTGCAAATACTGTGTTTACTGATCAGTGTAAAAGATCAGTGATTCGTATAATTAATTGATTATTAAATTAATGATCTAATGAATTTAATTGACCAGTGTGGTTATTGATTAGTGTAATTAATTGATTAGGCTGTTTGTTGCTTTGTGAAACTATTTGACTAGAGTGATTATTGTAATTGATTAATTGGTGTGGTATTGGCTATATTGATTACCCAAATATCTTGGTTGATTAAGCAATTTAATCAACGTGCCATCTCAACAAATCTACCATGCCAGGAAAAAAATCCATTGCCAAACCACAACCCAAAGAGAAAATAAACCCACCAATGAACCACAAGACTCCTGCACATGCCTTATATGCAAAGAAACTCTAAAGGATAATGAAAATTCCATCAAATGTTCCCTATGTGACAACTACGCTCACCATGGCTGCTTGGGATTACTCAAGCAAATGACTCAATTCCTTGAATCATCCAACCATACATTTTAATATTTCTGCCCAGCAGACCCAAACTGGACAAATACTGTATATTGCCCTGTTTGAAAGAGTTGATACCATAGAAACACAAATAACATCCCTTGACACCATAGTAGCATCACTGGACACTATAAAAGCAAGATTAACTAACCTTGAAAAAAAAGACACAAAAAACCAAACATCCAATAGCTACAAACCATATCTCTATCCAACAACCACAACCCAATCCACAAAAAACCACAAACCCAACAAATAATGAAATCCCAATCCTCGTCAAAGAAGCTGTCGAGAGCAAAAGGAAGGATCCAAATGCCATCTTATTTGGTCTAGAGGACAATGACAATGATGACATCACAATTGTCCGCAACATCATCAGTGACTATCAAGCATCAACCATCTCCTCTGATGAAATACCTGACATTTCCCACATCGGCCCACAGTTCAAAAACAGAGACGGCTCGGTGGCCCCACACTTCTGCAGGGTCATTTGCAAAAATGAATCAAGCAAACGAAAATTCATTTACACTATAAATTCACTTGCCAAGAGCAACACTATCCTTAAGAACCTCCATTCTCGCCTTGACCTAACCTTACAGCAACGTGTATGATCCCTTGAACTATTCTCTGAGCTCAAAAGACTACAAGAACAAGGAAATACTCACCTATACATTGACTACCACACAGAATGTATCAAAAGCAAGACCTTCAACTTACATCCCAATATCCATCACCCCAACATCCAACATTAGGCATGCACGCCCCTTACTTCCTCCAGACCCACTACTACATATCTAAAATGCAAACTATTCAATGCAAGAAGCCTCGCAAACAAAATGCATTAATTCCTCATCTTATTATGCACGATTACATTCAACATTATATTTGTCTGTGAGATGTGGTTAAATGCATCTTTTCCAGACTCCATTACCAGTTAGTGAATATCACGTTTATCGGTCAGATTGCAAAATCCGTAAAGGAGGTGGAGTTGCTATCTTCTACAAAAATCCCTAAATCTAAAAAAGATTCAAATTACACCAGAACTTGCTCTTCCAGAGACCAGAGTCTGTTAAGTGTCCTCAAATACCACAATCCACTTCTTACTATGCGACAGAGCCCCTGATTATGACATAGGTCATGCAAACAAGCTAACATCACTACTAAAGTGGGCTGCCTCTTGCCCACATTCTCTTATTTTCCTTGGTGACATCAATCTACCTCTTATAAATTGGACCCTAAATGAATGTACATCTGAATCCATACATGCAACCTTGTACAATGCTGTTACTACACTGGGACTGGATCAATTAGTAACTAACAACACTAGACTCAATAACTGCCTCGACCTTATCTTGTGCAACAGTTCAAACTCAATATAAAGCCTACAAATACAAGAACCCTTTTCAAACAGTGATCACAGTATGATTGACTTTTGTCTCAATTTGCACCCTCACAAAGAGGGTCATAATGATGGATCCCCAACATACAACTTCAAAAAAGCCAACTATGATCTCATAGATGCTGACCTATTATCTCTTGATTGGCACATTCTGTTCTCTAGTTGTAATACTACAGAAGACCGTTATAATGCATTCATTTGAACTTGAAAGAGACATTAAATATATGCACCATTAGTAATCCCCCAAAACAAAAACAAAAAGCAAATTACCCATAACAATAAGGAAACTTCAATTTAAAAAGAAGATCACTATGGTGTAAAAACAAAACTAGCTACATAGCAAACTTGAAAAACCAATACAACACCTTATGCCGACAGATAAAGGCAGAATGCACAAATTACCACTGCAAGCAAGAGGAAAACCTCCTATGTACAAAATCCACTTGCACGTTCTACAATTTTGTAAACACCAAACTTAAAGGATCAAGAACCATCCCACCCCTAAAAGGACCAAATGGGAAAGACTGCAATGATGAAGCCATTAAGGCCAATCTCTTCAACACATTCTTCAGTTCAGTCTTTGTAAATAGCAATGGTTCATGCCCGACATTTCCTAGTCATACCACAACTAACTGTAATGACCTACTACATATTGACTTTACAGAAGACAATGTAGAAAAGGCAATACATAATCTAAAACCACCCCTATCTATTGGCCCCGATGTGCATACTTCTTAAAAAAGCTGTCCACTGCCATAGCAGAACCTCTAAGCATTATATATGAGATATCATTCAGAAACTGCTCCTTACCGAACCTATGCTCCTTAGCTCCGTTCATCCCTATCTTCAAAACAGGTGACCCCAGCCTGGTTGAAAACTACAAACCAATCTCACTGTGATTTGTCATGTGCAGTCATAGAATCAATCATTAACCAATTCATCACTCTCCACTTAGAGGCAAACAACCTACTCTCAAAAAAAAACAATTTGGTTTCAGAAAAAAATTGTCCAGCAATCTTCAATTCCTACACTGCAAAAACATATGGACTACTCTATTTGACCAGGGTAAAGCTATAGATGCAATTTACAAAGACTTCTGCAAAGCCTTTGATTCGGTGGTACATGACAAACTACTGTTAAAACAAAACTCTTACGGCATTTCCAGATCTCTTCATTAGTGGATTACTACGTTCCTGTCAAATAGGCAACAAATAGTAAAAATAGGGAGCGCTATATCAAACCCTGTTCCAATTAACAGTGATGTCCCCCAAGGCAGCATTTTAGGACCCACACTCTTTATACTCTTTATAAATGACCTTTGCAATCACCTTATAAGCGACTGCGTCCTCTTTGCGGATGACGTAAAACTATTCAACACCACCGACAATTCTACTGTCCTTCAAAACGACCTTGTTATGTGTCTGAATGGTCAAACAATTGGCTACTCTAAATCTCGACCAACAAATGCTCTGTCCTACACATTGATAAAAAAATCAGTACACCATATACAAACTAGGTGGATATGACCTCGTTGATGATCCTTACTCTGTCAAGGACCTTGGAGTTCTCATATCAAATGACCTAAACTCCAGAGCTCACTGTAACAGCATTGCCAAAAAGGCATTAAAAGTTGTAAATCTAATCTTTCGAACTTCACCTCCGGAAATATCGAATTGCTAACTAGAGCACACAAAATTTTGCTAGGCCAATACTTGAATACAGCTCATCAGTCTGGAATCCGCACTGCGTATCAGACATTAATACAACTGAGTGAGTCCAGAAGTATTTCACTAGAAAAGTACTACACTCCTTTGCTCACAACAGAATACCCTATATCACCAGGCTTGAGATTTTGGGCTTGGACAACCTTGAATTATGCTGCCTGCGGGTAGACTTAAGTGTAACACACAAAATTATCTGCTACAATGTCCTACCAGTCAATGACTACTTCAGCCTCAACCATAACAATACAAGAGCACACAACAGATACAAACTCAATGTAAACCGCTTCAAACTCGACTGCAGAAAGTACGATTTCAGCAACAGAGTGGTCAACATCTGGAATGCACTACCTGACTCTGTTGTTACATCCTCTACACCCCACTCCTTTAACCTCAGACTATGCACTATTGACCTCACCCCATTCCAGAAAGGTCTGTAAGGGGTGTGCATAAGTGCACCATCGTGCCTACCGTCCCTGTCCTATTGTCCCCATTTATTCGTACCTATTTCCTGTATTCTTACTCATATTTATACTTAAACCTATTATCTCGTAAGTGACTGACAAATCAAATGAATAAATAAATCAATAAAATAACATAGGACTCCAGAAACCTCAGCTAAGCCACCAGTCCCTTTTCTGGGACAAGTAGAATCTGTTGAAAAGAAGGACATGTTTAATTACCCCTCTGGGGAATGTAAACCAGAAAGGGGGGTGGGGGTGGGGATATGATTTTCTGAAGAGACTCAGAAAGAAAAGAAAAAGTGAGTTGAGAAGCAAGTCAAGGAAAGTTGACTGTGGAACAACAAAGCAAATTGCAAGGGCTCCTTGAGCAAAAGTCACAGCAGGGGAATGCAGAGGAAACGCCAGAGGAAGAAAAGGCAGCCAAGGGAACGGCCCAAGCAAGGAGAGAAACCCTTCTGGCTATAGGAAGAAATGACAGTGGGTGCAAACTAGAAAGTGCAGTGAAAAGTTGGGGTTAGAAAAAGGCTGAAGGAGAGAAAGGAAAGAAATGCAGCTAAGGAGAAGATCATCTTGCCTTGACTAGTTGTAGGCAAAATTCTGATAGACTAACGCTGCCTAAAGTTGAGTCTGTATAGCCTCAAGGATCCCTTCCGTTGTCCTCTGTGCCACCAAACCAGAAGTCTTCCAGTCCTCCCAACAAGTGTCAGAGAAGCAAAATTCGGGGGAAAGGGGGGGGGAATTTCCCAATTCAGAAACCCCGTGAACCTGCCAGTGCAAAAAATTATATCAGGTGTCCATTTTCACTGCCTTAAGAAACTGACCCTGGAAGAGGCGTTTCCTTGCAACTGGAGTTTGTCATCCAGTCCGCAGTTTGTTTGTTTTTAAACTGCTTTTCTCATTCCTGTGCCATCCATATTTCTTCTGTGACAGAGTGTCTCCCTGCACCTCATATTTGGACTCTGCTCTCTTTGGCCACCTCCTTCTTTGAAAAAAGGCTTTCCTGACCAATTCTTTTTCTTCTGGTAGCTGCCTGTGTTCCCAACTACAACCGTCATAAATATGAACCCGTCCTCAAGCACCCAAAAGAAAATCATATCATTGTGGGAATGATACAATGGTCATAACTGTGAAAAATGGTCATAAGTCACTTTTTCAGTGCCATTCTAACTGTAAACAGTCACTAAGCGAACTTTTGTAAGTTGAGAATTGCTTGTAAATGGTCAACTATGAGTAGCAAATGGTAACCTTTTTTAGCAAATCTGTAATGGGAGCAACCAGAAAGCTCCTCCTCCCCTCCTGGTGCCAAGACACAAGTCCTTTCCCCAGAGAAAGGAGGGTCTCTCTCTTCCACTCATCCTGAAATTGATCCCTCTTTGATCCCCCTGACAGTGATCCAAAATCTCTCTTGGATGCTCAAAATGTCGTCCAGTAAAACCCCAGCGGCTATTTTTTTACCTCTCAACTTTTTAATGGCATTTTTCAGAAGCGGAATTACATCACTGCAATCCCAGATTGTCCACTTCGGCTCTAGAAATAAATCCACCGGATTCTCATATGTTTCCTTAGCCTGGAATCTGGCAAGACAAAAGAACAGAATAACAGAGTTGGAAGGTCATCTAGTCCAACCCGCCCCCCACAACTGCCCAAGCAGGAGACCCTACACCAGGGGTGGACAAACTACAGCCCGCAGGCCACATCCGGCCCGTTCGCCTGTCCAATCCGGCCCACCCCTGAAAAAAAATCGCTGGGTCTGGCATATTGCCCTGATCCACGAGGCCCCCAAAGCTGAAAAAACAGTGCAGAGTGCTCCCGGGGTAGGAAAGAAAAGAAGAACTTTGGAAAGGCCTCGGCTGGGAGTTCAAAATCACCTTCGAGTGCGACCTCTCCGAAGGTGAGTCCCCGCCGATCCCCCCCTTTTTTCCGGGGCTTCCAGGCTTAAACTTTGCAAAGGCAAAGTTTGCAGGCGGGAGCGTCTTCCCGCCGAGGAGTGGGAAGGGTTCTGCCCGGCGGGAGGGTGGCTGCTTGGAGCGGGCTGCTTGTAGCCACCTAAAGCTAGGCCGCTGCTGGTGGAGCCTTGCCCTGCCTTGGTGCCCTGTTTCCTGGCTCGGCAGTCCTGCTCGGGCGGCACTTTAAAAACCTGCTCCCAGCACCCGAGCAACTTCCCAGCAACTTACGGCTTCCTTTTTCCTAGTGGGCACTCATGCCTGGCCCCGAGCCGCGCGGCAGAGGGGAAACCCGGAGCATCGCCGGCTCACCTCCTCCAAGCTGCCCGCCCGCCCATCGGGCGGAACCCTTCCCGCTCCTCGGCGGGAAGATGCTCCCGCCTGCAAACTTTGCCTGTGCAAAGTTTAAGCCTGGAAGCCCCGGAAACCCGAGCAGCTTCCCAGCAACTTGCGGCTTCCTTTTAACTCGCCGGCGCTCACGCCTGGCCCTGAGCCGCACGGCAGAGGGGAAGCCTGGAGCACTGCCGGGTCGCCTCCTCCAAGCAGCCTGCCCGCCTGCCGGCTTGGGGCCAGGTGCGAGCACCCACGAGTTAAAAGGAAGCCGAAAGTTTCTGGGAAGTTGCTCGGGTTTCCAGGGCTTCCAGGCTTAAACTTTGCAAAGGCAAAGTATGCAGGCGGGAGCGTCTTCCCGCCGAGGAGCGGGAAGGGTTCCGCCTGGCGGGCGGGCAGGCGGGCTGTTTAGAGGAGGTGACCCGGCAGCGCTCCGGGCTTCTCCTCTGCCACACGGCTCGGGACCAGGCGCAAGCGCCCGAGAGGAAAAAGCAAGCCGCAAGTTGCTGGGAAGTTGCTCGGGTGTTGGGAGCCGCCGTCGTTGTGAGTGACTCATCAGGCACGTATGTGGGGAGGGCTTTTAAAGTGCTGCCTGAGCAGGACCGCCGAGCTGGGAAACGGGGCACCAAGGCAGGGCAAGGCTCCACCACCAGCAGCCTAGCTTTAGGTGGGCTTGGATGCCCCTGAGCACGGTTTGCTGTTTGTTCTCTCCTGGGACTCGCGTTTGGAAAGCGTGGAAAGTAGTAGCAGAAGCAGCTGCGGTGTTACTTTTTCTTATATATAAAATATATATATATAATAAAGGGCCCATTATAAAATGCAGCAAATTATATATATATGTGTGTATGTTATGACCCCACTTCAAAATTCAAACGAACAAAACAGAAAGCAGCCGTTTCAAAATTAAATCAAACAGAAAGAAGTCTTACAAGATAACGGCTGGCAGAAATCTCAATCCACAGCATAAATCTTTACTCTGTCCGGCAAACCAGTCTTGGCAATAAATCTCAAGTCTCAGAGCTTCTTGCTGTAACGTCCTCACTCAATAAATCACTTTCTTCCTGGCAAGTTTTACCAGCCCAGCTGTGTCCTTTTATACTCATTGAGGCAATGTGCTAATTTACTGACTAGCCCTCCTCCTTCGTTCCAGCTGAGTTGCCTTCTCAAACGTCTTCTGTTCCTTACATTTAACCACAAATTTTCCAAGTTCTCATCTCCACTTAGAAGACTCTCTCAAAACTTCCCTGTCAGCCATTCCCGGCTGTTGATCAGATAAGGAACCAGAGGAGGTCAAAGGTCCTGACAATTCTAATACATCAGGTCTGTCGTCCTTTGTCACGTCCATCTCCTCATCCTGGTTACCAGTCCAATCACTGAGCCATGCCGGCTCATATTTTTCTGCCATGTCCTCCTCACTTGAACTCATATCAGTCACAGGAGCTGAATCCAAGCCCGGAGCCAAAACATATATATATATATAAAATTATATATAAAATATTCTTATATATAATTTGCTGCATTTTATAATGGGTCCTTTATAATGGCCTTTTATAAAATTGGTTCGGGCCTCGAACGCAGATCTGATTTTCCATGTGGCCCCCGACAGAAATTAATTGCCCACCTCTGCCCTACACTGTTTCTGACAGATGGCAGTCCAGCCTCTTCTTGAAAGCTTCTTGTGATGAAGCCCCCACAACATCTGAAGGCAAAGCTGTTTCATTGGTTCATTCTCCAGAAGTCAGAAAATTTCTCCTTATTTCTAGGTTGAACCTCTCTTTGATCAGTTTCCATCCATTACTCCTTGTCTGGCCTACAGGTGCTTTGGAAAACAGCTTGACCCTTTCCTCTTTGTGGTCGCCCCTCAGATACTGGAACACTGCTATCGTGTCTTCCCTGGCCCTTCTCTTCCCTGGACTAGCCATGCCCAGTTCCTGTAACCGTTATCAACCTGCCAATAGAAGCAGCTTCCTAAAGCATCAGGCGGTGCTTGAGAATTGGATAGCTATAGGATCCGGTCTGGGTTGGTTACCAGAGGTTTTGTCTTCTGAGCTTTTGGACTCAGGCTGGAGCCCATCCTCAGGGAACTCCTCTCTCCATCACCAGAAACTGTGCCCTGGGCTGTTCTACGCGTTGTGTTTATGTGGTCCCTGGTTGTGTGTGGCTTTCACTGTTTAAGTGAGGTGTTGATGTCCATCTATTAATTCACAGAATGCCTTTTTCTTGTGTGGCCCCATCCTTGGCTCCTAAGTATCTCGTCAGCTGGTGGTAAGTCAGCACTCCTGTGGGCTGACAAGGGCCCCCGTTTCCCAGGCTTCAGTCATGTCTCTGGCCAGCTATTCAAATATGGGCACCAT